TTATAATTTATCACCTCCAAACTTTCTGCGTATGCGCGCAATTTATGTGTGAAAAGCTATTTGTATATAACTGTATGTGCAATTATTAATTAAAGCACATCATCAATTAAGTTCAAGACGATTAGCTTTTAGCACGAATCTAATTAGGTAATTCTCGATCTTTTGTTTCGCGGCAATATATGATTAAGCAAAGTGTCGAAAGCGAGTAACAAACAGATGATTACAAATCGCATCTGCTTAATCCATATGAAGCAATTGTTTTCACCATGAGCACGCGTATTATCTTTTTTTTTTTGCCTAACTCATTACGAGTGACAAATGACAGTTTAATAAATTAGAGCTACATATGTACATAGATAAATTATACTTTTTAATCGTTGTGCTCGACAAAGCGCGCGTACAATCGGGATTCGTGCGATCCGATTATGGCGGGTACCGCAGTCACGGAAACGGTTTATTAGCATCAAATGGCATTAAATTGCACGGAACATCGTGTACAAGGTAAATTGGTACCGAGTTACATATCACATTTAAAGAGTCGCCTTTGAGAAGGCGGCCACGTCGTATACCTACATGCGACTCGAAACATCGGATTATATTGGCCGATATGAGCAAAATGCGATTGCACGCACTGGTAAACCTGTACCTGTGGTATCGATGAACTAGTACGTGTCTATCGATAAACCGGTGTGCATGAAAACGTGATATAAAATCCTTGGAGGAAATTGCAGAGGAATGTTATTATTGTTGTTATTATTATATTATTTAAATTGGAGTCATTTACCGAGTACAATTATGACTTATACCACGCGAAATGTCTCCTCGTATATCATTAAAAATATATATATAAAATTAAAATTACTAAAAAAATTTATTTTTATTAAAGAATTCTATCCACGAATAGTATTCGTTAATTAAATATTAATGTCTCAAAGTATTAAAACATTGATTTGTTAATTGAAATTTAAATTTATGCAGATTTCGGATACTATTGTAAGATTCAGATATGATCTGGATAATTTTAACACTTGATAATTTGAATAATTGAATAATTATATTTCAGACAGTATTTTTGCAAAAGATGCGTAGGTGTATATTAGATTTGATACAAGCACGCTACACGTGCGAAGGTATGTTAAAAAAATAAAATCATGTGGGTTGATGTAAATGTCCTTCACGAATCATGACTTGATTAATCTAATAAGGAAGCGGTCGTGGCATCGATTGATGACGCTCGTCTCTAAAGTTCCACCCACTTACTTATTTCATTAAGATTTCTTTTTTACTTATTTGTATCGTAAGAAGATATTTAGATGCGTACGAAAAAGTACATATTTGCACCGACAAAAAATACATTCTAATATACAGCTTTAATTTTTAAATTTCGTCAATTAATTAAATCTAGCCATGTTCACATAAAGAAACTTGCTATAAAAATATAGTTTTATACTTTATTATTATTGTTTCTTACATGGAGAGAATTTCCTTTTAAAATTTACCCTGAAAATCATGTTAATCGTGAAATTTTATGTAATTTTCTCCATTTTTTTTTTACTGTGCAATAAATTTGTTGTAGTATATATTTTAAAAAATAGCAAAAATCACGTAAAATTTGTCGAAATGTTATGTTGTCCTACAATTAATATGATTTTCAGGGTAAATTTTAAAATAAAATTCTCTCCGTGTATGTGATCATGCATACGCATATATACACTGTAAAAGATATAAATCTCAACATTATCGATGAACGACATATCGCAAGTGCATAATGCAACATATTGTATCTACGATATTGATCAATCTTTAGTCTTCGTATCTTACTTTTGCAATTGAAAAAAGCAAGGTTAATATCGCATGATACAGCGTGATTATTAAAAGGAATCGAGTCATGCTATTTCTTACACGTGTAACGAAGCATGCGTCAATGGCAAGATTATGTCGGAGAAAAGCACTGAGTCTTTGAAACCTTCAGTACATTCTCAATGTACATACATCCATTCGCACGTTAAATACAGCCTCAGCTTCAGCCTCATTTTGTGTTTGAGTTGAACGCGATTTTCATATTAAACAAATACGCAAAGCTAATAACCGGTATATTAAACCATTAAAAGGCAGGTGATTGATTCACGATACGCGTAATCGTTTAATCGCGCGATATGTTATCACATTATTCGACGCACCGATTGAAAGTATAGGTCGATAGAACGCACGATGATAATCGTAATTGTTCGTGGTTCTTTTTGTGGTTAATTCCCAGACTCGCGTACATTTCGCCGGTGACTTGTGTCGCACAGGAGAACAATGACGTCTGTCTCTCTCGACGCTTTTGCCACATTCTACGCTCGTTCAACGGCGGAAAACGCGACGGTGGCAAAACAATTGCGGCGCGCGTGAAAATACACCGGCGTGATTTCGCGCATTGAAGGAGCCGAGCCGGGCGTTTCTGCAATTGTGGTAATTGCCACGAAAGTATAAACGACTGCAGGTTATATGGTTTTTACGTTCGCGCCCGTGAATGCGATCTCGTTTCGTTCATCACGATTCGCTTATACATATATACGTTTTACCGTATACTTTGTTTGACCTATGTGTACATATAGAAATTAAATTACTCTTCTCGTTAGGCGCGCATCCATGCGTACATAAAGAAAATAAGAAGAAAGAAATGTGTGTCGTTTCCTCGTTAGTAATTATTGAGGAAGCCTGAACGAGATTCTCTCGGGTTATCGCGAGCAAAAAGTCCAAGTAAAATCGTCAGCGTGCGAATAGCGTGTTTATTACCGCGCGTCAATAATTCTCGCATTCTCGCGATGACAAGCGGTACAACGATAAATGATATTCGTACCTATAGTCTCCATTAATATGGTCATTAAGATAATTGATATCGGACACATCCACTTTTCAATTATTATTTCTGTTGGGTAACGACACAACACGCGCTGTCGCAAAGCGAGCGAGATTACAGGAAGCGATAGAAAAATCTTCAAGTAACAATTAATATCAAGTTGTGAAACCTACAAGTTTGTTAGTTAAAGTCCCGCTCGTCGTCGTGTCATTGCGTCAAAATCGCATTTTTCGCAACTGTCTCTCGCAACGTTGACAAACAGGAAAACAATTTCCTATCGAAATCTATTAATCTTATTTATCATAAATACTCGACAAACTGTGTGTTGCAAACTGACACGCGGGATAATGTTTGCGTGCGATACATGATGTTAGGTTAATTTACCTTAATTCGACGTTTCCAGTCTTGGACGCATGGACGCGTGCTTGAGAGCGTGCGCAAGAATTGTTATATTCGGCGTTAATCGCGGTCCACTACATCAACAATCGGCCGACAATCGACGAAGGAATCGGCATCGCGCGCGCGACCGGACCGGAGGTGTTTATCATCACACTCGGATTCACCGCGGGACGCGCTCCAACTCCGTATCGCGAGGTGGTTGGAGGTTTACTGACACCGGCGCGCCACGGCGGCGGCACGACCGGCACGATTGTACACTGATGTACCGCGGACTCCGGAGCACCGCGCGCGCTCGGGCGCCTTCACCTGCTCGTAATGTAAGCAGAGTTTATCTGAGTTTATCTCGCGATACATCATGCGTGCTACGACGGAAGGGACAGACGCGTACACACGTATGTATACGTCCTCGTCCTCGATGTATAGCCGATAATCAAATCTCTATCCTTTCCTCGTATGCGTGTAGAAAATAAGCACGAAACTGGGAATGCAAAACTGATAAATAAATCGTCGCGGATAAATCATAAATGCTTTTCATGAATGAATTAACTTTCGTCAAATTGAATCCAAGTAAAAATCGATTACAAAATAATTAATATATCGCATACAGGTTTATAAAAATATAACTATATCGAGTATAGCAGCACAAGTGTAATATTTGTTAGCAGTTCCAAATAAAAAAAAGAGAACACTTCTCCCTCTTTCTTTTTCTCTTACAGTTGGTTTTTTAAATGAAGAAAATACCGTAATATTGTGTTTATTGAATTTCATTTCCGCTTCATAAAATTTCACTCTAGTAACAATTCGAGAAAACGCACACAAATATATAAAAATATATACGACATATAAAATTATAAATAAAGTAATTCTATTCTAAAATCTTGCGCAAATTATAGATTCTTTTAAAGTGTCTAAAATATGACATGTACGATCACAGAAGCGATGTATTTCATTGGATGCATCATATATATTGAAAAATTAAAACTGGAATTATCAATCTAGGATCTAGGTGAAACGCTTGATGTAAGATGAAACGGTTTCTACGGATAATTTCCTATTGGATACACGCGCGACAAAAATTAGTAGTTTTCACGGATATGAAAGTTTATATAGTATGTATGTATGTATGTATATGTACATACATACGTTTTTTTATTCAAATAGAAACGTTAAAAAGAAATATTTGTAAAGTACGTGAAAATTTTTATTTATTGTAATTCTTGTGTACGTCATCATTTCATTATTATATCTTAAAGTAGTTTAAAGTAATTCAATTTTACAAAAATAAATTTTATTCATTCATTATAAAGCGTTCATTTTTTTAGAGATATATTATTTTTATTAGAAATATTATATTTAGAGATATATTATTTTTATTATTCATTTTTAAAATAAAAGAGAATATAAAATGAATAGATCGAGATATTATATGAATTAAAAACTCTTTCGATCTCTCTTTTTTCATATATTTTACACTTATTTAAATGTTAAAACTGTCAAAGATCAGTATTCATTTAATAATACTTTGTCGGTTATTTAATCAATTAATTGATACATTGATAAAATATAAAGACTATCAGTCGCCCTGGTTAAACTGTCGATCGTGATTATCAAATGAATCTGACAGGCCCGCGCGGGAATTAAAGAATATGGATATTATCGAATGTTGATATTTTCTCGTCGATATATATTTAAATTTTATCGCGGCGGATGGTATATATACTGAATACATTGCAGCTGGTATATAGTTTTACGTTACCTTTCGAAGGCTAGACTGTCCCGTCGGTAATCGCATACGTTGCAAGTGCTGCATTTTGAGGACAGGTCTGTTTCTCCATCGGTATCGTCACAACGATGTTGATCCTTCCGATGATCTATGACGACGCTCCACGTTCGATGGATAAGATAGAACAAATAAAGCGACTTGCTTCGTCCGCAAGGTTGTGATTTCGTGTTTCCCATTGTTTATCGTCGAGTCTTACTTTTCTAGCACAAATACACGACGGCACTTATCGGAAAACCAATTAGTAAGAGAAACGATTCGCTCGACCGCACTGTTCTTTTCACACTTGCACAGAATATTATGGTGAGCATTGCCCATAATGTCTTTTTTTAATTACGTAGGTCCATCTTTTATACATCGCAGTCAATCGCACACGGAACTTTTTAAATTTCTATACATTTAATACACTTTGTCACTACTTGATGGCCTTGATGCATGCGCCCTTGATGACGAGAATTATGCATTTGCACAAGTACTTTTCTCAGGAGATACTTTTTCCGCATTACATGTAGCGCAAAGATCGCGTTCGATTGCATGACCGGCCATCGGGACCGTGGGATTCTGAACTGCACGAGTCTCGCGTGCCACGACCCTGGCCTTCAGTCAGAGTAGTCGTGTAACAGCTTAAGTAATAGCTTATGTTTTCCTTCTTGGGCGGTGAAGAGAGCTCTGAAAACAGCAAAGCTCTTTGCAATCCGCTGAATTTATTATTCATTTATTTCAATTCAATTTAACATTCTCGTTAACTTATATAGCTATTACATTAGATTTAAAAATTTAATTCGCGTCTTTGGATTACAATATTTTATGTCTCTTAAGCAGATTAAAAACTGCAATTAATCAAAACATATAATTAAAACCATGCACATTATTTATGTATTACAACGTTCTTTAAATTATCTGGTACTTATAATAAAGTATAGATTTTATTTTCTTTTGAGACATAGAATACAAAGTTATAATTGTCAAGATTAAAATATATATATATATGTCAATTTGATTTTTTTTTTTATAAATCGTATATACATTTCTAATTTATTTCTTCAATTCAAATGCCTAAATAAATATTTATTTCACGCGAATATTTGCACAGCATCGCAAATATCTTTCAATTTTTTTCCTTCTTGACGCCAGTTATATATTTGATATATTACTTCCTGTTCCAATTGTTTACTCATTATGAATGACTATTGCATTAAATCGCGAATGCGCATAACCCGTATATTGCTGCATTATTCGCATTGCCCGTACGATTGCGTTTACACTTGTGTAATTACGAGTCGAGGAAACAACTCGAAAGTAGCATTTATATATAGAATGGATGCTGCGTACTGCACTTCTTCAGATGGCGAGGGAATTAAAACGTGATTTTATGACGCGGCTTTATTAAGATCTCGTCCCATAGACTATTCGTAAATTATACTCGGGACATTTAAGTACGTGGGTATGTTTTATGTTGAATGTATATTTTCCGTTCTAATAAGAATCTATTTATAAAATTGAATACATTTTAAAGTTTCTCTAATCGGAATTTTTTTTCTTTAGTTTTGTACATTCCATCTCTTTTTCAGTTCTTCGTCATTTAATGTTTGCCTTAATTTTTACTTGCAAGTTTTATTCAATTATCATTCAAATTTTTTAGAATATTACTTGTCAGTTATTCATATGATTATTTATATTCTTTTGCGATATATAATTAACCGATATGAAAGATATTGTATAATAATATTCGTATAAGATAATTTGTTATCTAGCTATTTATTATTATCCACGTTAACGCTCACACTTGATTGAAGAAGATCATAACAATAAGTAAAAGTATTGAATCTGATACTTATTACGAGTACTGTAAATAACTACAATTTATTGTATATTGTGAATAAATTCACACGAACGTTTGCGTTTATCGGTTCATGTTGGGTGAATATCCTTTAAATATTATCCAGTTATATGTAACCAGTTAACTTTCACTTTATTGGTTTTCGATGCTTTTGTTTTCGTCAAGTTCGTGTCTTTTGTATTTGATTCGCAATATATACAGTCACTAATTACGCTTTCCCACGATTATAAGATCGCTTACGTACGTGACCGTGTATAAGTATAACTAGTTCTTCTTCTGATTGCGGATGTGTCATTAGTGTCACTGTCACTGATCCCTCAGAAATTCTCACGTTTGTTCACTGCACGTAATAGTTAACCGCATCATTCTGAGATGATGCGAATCTTTCAAAATATTTATAATTTCTACAACGCTTGTTTTCCAAATTGTAATCATTTTTTTTGTTAACGTAACGGAGCCTCGCAATTGTTTCGAGTGACTCGTCGATCCGCTAATTGTAAGCGCGACAGCGATTTATTTTCCATTATCGTTCATATAAATCAATCTGTAGGCTGTCGTTACTTAAATGTACTTTTCAAATGCAAATTTGACCCACTCCTTAATATAAAGATTAATTTCTTATCTCGATTTTAAATAATTTTGTATGATTTGTGGAACAAAGAAAATTTATCAAATAAATGAAAGATTGTACAAATCAAGTTAAAATTTTAGTTCTCTTAAGGTTAAATCGAGATATATTTTGGAACTTATATTTTATTTATTACGCGGTATCGTTTCTTGTAACGTATTACTATCGACGAGTCGACGAGTTGAAATCGTCAAGAAAGTATGTTACTGGGAAATCGAAAAACTTAGTGATTTACTGAAGACAGCATAGAAAATTTGTAGAAATTTAGTCGTCATTATTATGCCGCTCCATGAAGGTTTTAATATTAATTGTCAGTATACATTCTCTGTTATATGTACAGAGAGACATATAAAATATATAGTACGCGGTTGATATTAAAATCGTTGTTTAAAACAATGTAACAATAATACAAATTTGTTTAAAATAAAACATGTGAGTTTAACATTAATTCAATAACGCCTTTAATATAATGATGCATTTAACATAATGACTTTATAATGTATTATTGTTTCAAAAATGTTTTATTAAATGGAGCACTTTACTCACATCCATATGTAGCATCACAGACTCATGAGACATTTAACGCAACAGTTTAGTTACATTTTCACGTGTAAGAAGATTAGAACCAAAGTTTCAAATGTTCCAAGCATAGACAATTCTACTAGATTTTCTATCTTTTTTTCTTTCTCTCTCTCTCCTTTTTTCTCTGATATTCAGTAGAAGTGATTTATCCCATTCGTAATATCAATTTTAACACCGACCGGTAGATCGCCCGCGCCGCGCGAAATGAAGCTGACTTCTTTACTCATCGGAGAGATTAGCATTTGCTATAAAAATCACACTCTCAACATCGCTCTCGTACTTCTCTTTTTCTCTCTCTCTCTCTCTCTCTCCCGTACCACCGTCTCGCGCGAACATTCAATACTGTACATTACGGCTACCGTGAAAATTATCGGTTAAAAATATCAGCACTTCCCCTCCCCCCATGTTTCGTGTGAGATTCCCTCTCGGTAATATCTTCCTTGGCGCGAAATTTCACGGCACGACCGCTAAACACAAACCCCTCTGGGTGCACCCGAGAGAGGTTGGCAAAAACGCGCGTTTGAGAGCCGCGAGTGGCATTCACCGGGCGGCTTTCAAGAGCCGACTGCCAACCCGCGAATGCCCCGAGGTGCACGTGTGCACGTCGCCTCTCTCGGCTGCCTCTCCAGCCGAGTCCTCGTCTTCTTCCTCCGCTTCCTCGGCGCGGCACGGCGCGAGATACGCCATGGTGCGCCATAACTCGCGCGTTCAGTCTGACGAGAGAAAGACCATGCACCTCGTGCAGCTTCAGACTGTGGGTCAAGTCGCGACCTACGGCGCGCTGATGTATCGTGAGCCCAGCCGTGTTTCTTGAAACCACTCGGAAAGTCGGAATCCAGGGAATCCAAGAGGACCGCCTTACTGGGTCAGGTTCAATCGCCTGCTCAACGCGACTCTCGATTTAGAATACAGTTTTATCTCTTTCATTGTTAATTTTATACATTTCTGCCACGCCGCTTGTATTATGTAATGTTTGAGTCTCCAATTGGTACAATTATTATTTCACACGTACATTTTATGCTGTCCAAAATGCTATCTAAGCAATTTCTTAGAGTATTAATTTTATTTGCTAAATATGCAAATTATGTAATCATAATAGCAAGCTACATTGCGACAATTAGAAAGTTTATTAGCTTAATTTATGGAATGTCAGCAAACATACCAGTACCCGTTTTTAAATGCAAACCTGATGGCACGTAATATAGAACGCACCGAGGTATCTATCGACCCTTTCTTGCAAAAAGCGAAATTTGTTCCAGCAATGGTTAATTGGTGCAATTTGAATGAATACATAATGACACGTGGTACGACGAGAGATCGAAGGATGCGATTTCGATTAAGAACTAACGAGCCGACGTTGGGCGTAACGTGACACGCAACGTATCACAATTCCTTGTTATGTGGAACGGAAATAAACGGTTCTCTCGCTGGAATGAATGTTTTGATAAATTTGAAACGTCTGTATTACTATTCTGAATTTTCGCGTAATATGTGATATAAAAAAATTAACGCTAAAAGTAAAATTTTATATCTTATTTCAAGTTTAAGACATGATATTTAATTATCGAATGCATTTATAGTTTTTAAATATCGTCACCCAACATAATTTATTATGAAAGCATATATAATATGATGATAATAAAATATAGTTAATTTAAATTAATTAATTACAAACATTAATATTTTGATATTATTTGTACATTTTATACATATTTATTAATATCTCAATTAGAAATAAAATTTTCTTACGTATCTAGTCTACGATTTTCTGATAGATGAAAAAAGGGGACTTTTAAGTGGAATAATCTTTAATTCTAGTCAAATTAATCGCAATAATTGGTATTTCGAACTGAATGATTGCGATATCGAAATAAATGCATTTTATCAATTGACTCACGAATTTTGGACATGTGCATCAAAGTCACGTGTTTTATTTTCTCACGCTATCAATCTTACTAGGTCAGCTCGCTACGGGCTCTAGTAGGTTTCTTAACGAAAGGTAATCAAGTACCGCTGCAGACAGAACCCACAAGAAACTCCATTTTCATACTTTGTAATCATGCGACCGTTAATGAAGAATATCACAGGAAGAAATGTCGTTGCCAAAGGAGAACAAAATAAAAAATGCTATTTAAAATTACAATTTTTACAATATACATCGTTTTGGTTGATGGATTTTTAACGCGATAATAATTAATTAGAAAAACATAAAAGTATGCTTTTTTTAAAATGTTAAAAATTAAATTAAATGTTAAAATTAATAAAGTTTACATATAACTCCAACAATAATAAATTATGTTGAGTGAATAGATATAACTAAGACATACGTATACATCAATTTCACATTTTATCAACAATAAATCTATTTTATTATTTAATTTACGTATAGTTATACAAACATTAATCATAATACACTTGCTGTCATTCGATAGCAGGTTGTATTTCGTATTTGAGATTTGAATTAAGACATAAACAGGTACTTACTAATGAGTGAATTTTCCAACGGGTTGAACAGGTTTAAGTTTTATCGTCATGTCGATGTTCAAGACTGAAAGTTGCTAAATTCCATAGCCAAAGACTGCGTCATAATTTCATTTTGGCTTCAAGCTAAAGATTTTTCTCCGTGCTGTTGCACAGAAATTCTTAAGAATTTCAGTGTATTAGATGTGACCCTGCAAGATAAGATGTCTGTGTACTCGTGTATCACTCTGTATAAGAGACGATGTCGCTTCCGGGTGCCTATGCAACGTTGAGAATAAGGAAGCACCGTGAAGAATATGGTAATGAGAGATAAGACCTGATTTCGTAATGATTCTCATATCGTGCGTGATGCATGCGTAACAATTACTGTTTTTTATAATAAATTAAATAGGCAATATTAATTAAATTTATTGCCATCGCCGTACACACCGATTATGAATTTAGTACACGTTTGACCTGGTTAACGAAATTCTGTGCAACGGTGTGCAGTCTTTGAGCGAAAAGTAATTCGCTAAATACCGTTATTTTCGGTCTAAGAGGAAAGAGAACTAAATTTAATTATATATAGATACACGGTAACTATAATTACATCTAATATGAAATATATCTATTTTAGCGATATAGTACAATTTTAGCGAGAGACATTAATACAAAATCGACATGTATAAAGGTACGAATTGAGTCATTATCGCGTCGCATTTCAGAAGCGATCCGTTTCCCGTCAGCCTTGAAAAGTAAAATTCAGAGTGATTTCTTAGGATGAGATCCGACAGTAATACCAGTGGGTTAGATTCACGCTTGACCTGGGCTGAGCGGATACATGTAACCATGTATCAAGCGGCAAGAACGCCGCTACTTCCGGATGCTTGTGCAACGTCGGGAACAGGGAAGTAAAACGAAAGAAATGATAATTATCGACGTCCAGCAGAATTGATCGCTGCACAGAAAAGTCAGCCAAGTAAATTGAATGGCTTTATTTATATTTCTCAAAGAACAGCTGATTTGTTTTTACTTAGGAAAAAAAAATATAAAGTCGCACTTTTTAATTTGCTACTGATGGCTGCTGTTATTAGTCATTTGTCTTTATACATACACGGAGAGAATTTTATTTCAAAATTTACCCTGAAAATCATGTTAATCGTGCAGGGACAACACAGTATCTCGACGAATTTCATGTGATTTTCACTATTTTCTTAAATATATACTATAACAAATTTATTGTAGTGCACAGTAAAAAAAAACAGAGAAAATCACATAAAATTTGTCAAAATACTGTTGTCCACGATTAACATAATTTTCAGGGTAAATTTTAAAAGGAAATTTTCTCTGTGTATCAAAGGATTGCATATACCCTGCTTTTTAAATTCAATCTGCAAAGATCTGAAAACAATAGGCGCTAGCGGTTAAGTAAAGAGGTCTGTTAGTGAGACATAAAATCTATCTAACATCTATCCTCTCTCTAATGTCTTTTCGAACCGCTTCTTGCACGCGCGATACAGAAACCGCAGATATATAGCGCGATACAGGAACTACAAATGCAACGTTTTGCCATGAAATTATACTGTGCATAACAAAGGATTAATTTATGCACGTGGCTATCTAGCATCGCGGCCGTATGATGATCTTACGTAGAACGGAACCGTGAGAGAAACGGATGGTCAAAAAAGGAATGTAATACGTATATAATGCCTATATAATATCCATGCGAACGCGGTTTTGTATCACGATACCTCGCTGGACAGCATACGAGATTGCGGTTGCCTATTACGTAAGATATATATTCTTCCGCGGGAAAACTGTCTACTGAAAAACTTGTCACAGCTGCAATCCAGTTTTTTCATGCGTTTTTTTTTTAATACACCGAGAATCAGGTTAATGAAATGTAACGGGAGTTATTTTATACGATATACTCAATCGCATTAAAAAATTAACATAGGAAAAGGATATCAGGCAAAAAAAAACAGGAAAAGAAACTAAGAGAATGCAATCTCCCGATTTATTATTTGTCAATTTTTTAAATTACTGCACGAATATTTATAAACGTTGTGCGTTCGTTTCTCTATTGAATGAAATTGAAGACACGCATGAGAGATCGAGTGTGCTATTATCAATTAGCTGATCTTGCCTAAGTCACTTAATTCACTAAGTGTTACACTATATTACAGATTTCAAGCGAAAGTTATAGCCTGCGGCATAAATTACGCGACATATAACTACCCATCTCTGGTTTACATTTACTCGCTGCTATCGTATCATCTCGCAAAGACCGTGACGTCGATGTAGACAGTAGATATATCAAAAAGTCCTACGAACAGAGTATGTTATACAAATATATATATGTATACAGACAAAATCAAATTTTTTAACAAGTACGTATTTCCACAATAAAGGGAGATGAGACAAAATTATTATATTGAGGATATGAAATTGGCATGAAATATATAGATACTATCGAACGATTATCGCAGGCACGGAATGTCCGGAAGGAGAGTGACCGATATGTCGCATTTTGCCGTAGGCAACTAATTAAACGGATTTAAAAAGTTGTCGGAGCAACATCATCGTTAAGTGGGACAAGACGTCGCGCGTCGCCCTGCAATCGGTGATGGTACGACCTACAAGAACATTGATTGTTCCATATGCATTTAAAATTTTATAGTAGCTATATAATCATAAAATTGTTTTCCAATTAAAAAACAATCAAATCACAATATTATGAAAACAACGATTTAATCGCGATAAATGACAAGAGCTCTTGCTCAGCAATAATCAGTTTCGAAAATATATCTTTTAATTTTAATTTATATTTGATATTACAATTATAACAGAGATTATATTGTTAGATAACAGAAAATTAAGCAGATTAATAGAAATATTTTCGATGTAATATTATTTTATATTTGATGTAATGAAATGTTTATTTGTGTCGTATTTAAACAAAAAATTATTAGATCCTGTATAATAAAAACTGCTTTTACAATAGAAAATATATATACGAAGAGTAGAAATAGGACATCAGAAATAAGCGATGAACCCCCCCCCTCACCCTTTGC